AGAGAAGAAATACAGTGCTTCGCAGGCTTTCTAGAAATGAAATCTTTACTCTGGCAATAGAAGTCACATTTCAAAAGCTGATGATAATCAGGCTGACGTAGACTTGATGAGAATGCAAAAATAGTTGGGCATTTCTAGTACAAAATTTGTTTTCGCTTTGAACAGCCTCGCATTCATCAGCAGCGTATGTAATTGTTTTTAAACTGGCTCTTCTTTAAAATGTGCAGGAAGGCAGTTCACAGAGCACAATTCCAGGAAGGAAGGAACAGAAAGGGGCGACTGTGCCTCCGTCAAAATGAAAATTTCCAGTATTGCAATGAAAAAAATCCATTTACCTAAGATGGCATTGCTTACATCTGGAACCCCTCTACCAGTCACAAAGCTCATTAGTAATTTCAGGTCGGGAGGGAGGGGGGGAACCTTTTGGGGTAAAAAAAAAAGTCTCAGTTGCTAGAAACATCTTGATTTTTAAGATGTGGAGAAACAATGATCGACAAAAGCATTTACATAAATCGGTATTTAGCAATTTTACACATTACTGCAAAATAAAAGTTTAGATTTTAACCAAAATTTGAAAAGTAGAAACAGTAAGACCACGTTGCCATCCAGGAAGAGCCTAGTAATAAGCTAAGTTTTAGTGAACCAGAACATACAGCAAGACAAATGCAAAATCTCAACACTGTATTAAGACCCCTGGGTTAACTGCTTTTATTGAATGAGTGAATTGCAGAATAAAAAGGTGGCGTGGGTATCAAGTTGTCTTGGTCCTTTGTCAAATTAAGTAAGTAGTCATTTTTATCAGTAAGACCCTCGATTTCATTTCACAATTACAGTATAAAAAATCCTTTCTGGAAAGCTGATTAAAATTACAATGGGGTGCTGTTAGTACATCTGGTTTGTGATTTAAATTCTACATACATTTCAGAGTTTTACCAAGAGTGTTTGTTTTAAACAAATGCTTGTTTCATGCAATTACAATAAATTTAGGGCAACCACTTAATAAAAAATAATGGTCAAATTAAATACTAAACCAGAAAAGGGATTCCACTTTGAAAGAATGATATAAATGAAAGTACTGACAGAAATTAACCCAGTTACAGCAACTTGTAAATTCAAAATTGCCAGCCACTACACTGAAATTTTGCATAAAATACTCTGAGACTTAAATACTTTCACTTTGTTATTTGTTGAGGGTATATAACATATCCAAATATAGATGTGGACTACCAGTAGTTTAACATGTCAATAGAGATCAAAATTCAAACCCCGTGCACCCAAAATTAGCAGTTTACTAAGAAGTCTTCCCTTTCTCACCTGTGCTAGTACTAAGACACCAGTGATTAAATCAAACAGAGCAAAGGACACAGACTCTGTAGGTTAAAAACATTTTGGCTTATTTTAAGAAAAAGAACAAAACCAAATAAGCCTTCCAAAGCAGACATGCAACCACAAATTTCTGAAGTAATCTAAATATTTGGTCGATCTGTATAACAAAAAAAGCTGCGTTACATTATTAGACTGCTAATAAAAGGGGAATAAAAGGGGAACCCTTAGGTTTCTACATTTTGCTTTTTCAGATTTATACATGCAAATAATATATTAACATTCACAAATATTTTTAAATGGGAAAACTTGCATCTAACAATTCATTTTTCCAATAGTGTGGTACTATGTTAAGGACATTGGACAATGTGTTCATTTAATCTGGTGGTCTTGATTTCAACAGAATCCCTTCTCATAAATTAAGCCTCACTGCCAAGAAGTTCTTCCAGGACCACCAAGACCAGATTTTCTAATCCTAGCAAAGGCCACAATAAGGTGACACAGACATCCTGCCTCTGGGCTCTCTCTCTGGTGAGACCAACGAATTTACTCCAGGTCCTAGCTTTTAAGATGCGGTAGAAAAACGGGACTGTCGCTGAATCATCTAAAAATATGACTTTGGGTTCTAAATCTCGACATTTTTTTCTGATTAAAACTAAGACTTGCCTCATAACGAGGCACATTTTGGCATCTCTGCAAATGTGATGATGTGCAAGTCAAAATGAGGACAAGCGGCATGGTGGGGGATGGGGAACGCCAAAGAAAGTGAAAATGAGGAAAAGAACTGGTGCTGACCACATGTGTAGCTGACTGAGAAAAACAGACACTCCCTGGCCGAGTCCGGGCCAGCCCCGCTCGCTGTGAGCTCTGCTGTAAGCAGACAGCAGTCACTGCGACCTCTCTCCAGCCGCCCGCCTCTGACACTCTTACTTCAAACTCCGCTCTCAGCTCTCCACATCCCTGTCTCCCCAGTTTCCTCTTCGACTCTGGCGGCTGTGCTTGGCCGCTGCCTTCACTGCCAGGCTCCGCGGCGGGCAGTTCCTCCCGGCACGGGTCCCTGTGCCCTCATTCCAGTCACGACACCCTCCTCACCCTGGACTGAACTTGTATGTTCTACCCTGGACTCCTGGCGATTGGGGTCAGGCCGAGCTTTTGTTACCAACCGTACACTTCCCCTCATGGCACCCTCTGGAGTTCCAGAGGCCTCTGCAGCCCTTCCTCTCTGAGAAGTCCTAGGGTGGCCACGTGTGCCCCCGAGCCACTGCTGCCACCTTCTAGTCCTCAGAATTCCCCCTGGACATCCGAACAAGGGCTGCCGGTGAAGAACCCCCTCCCACCTGAGCCCACGGAGTGAGGTACTTCTAGAAAGTTCCTCAGAAGGCCCTGCCAGTCTAACCCGCCCAGGCGCAGCTCACACCCCTGCTCTCCCCTGTCCACTGTGCTCTCTCCAGGCTCTGAACGCCCTTAACAGAGCCTCTGCCATTAAGCTTCCAACTCCACTCCACTTCAGCTGTAGCCTCCTCTGTATAAACATAAGGTGATTTTTCTCAGCTGCGGGACAGCCTTTCTGTGGGGCAGTTTCCTTCCTAATCCAAGATGCGCCCGGCCCGGAATGCCTGCCTCACTGGTATTTTATTTGCAGCTACAGCAGCGCATCTGTGGGGCACGCCCTGGTGTCCCACCTTTGCTCCCCAAGTCTCAGGAGACTTCTATATTGGGTCCTCTGTCTCTGGGACCAAATTCTGAAAGATGAGTGAAAGCTCAGGTAAATGCAAAACCTTCTGGTGCCACACTTTACTATTTACATTCCCAAGCAATTCTGAACAACTCACATGACCAGGTAGAAGGCAGTGATCATCACCTGCATACTACACGTTTCCAGGTACCTGGGACACCCCTTTCCTTTTCTACATCGGAGTCTGAGAAGCCGAGGTCCCTCCAGCTGTGGGCAGTCACACCTGTCACCTAACACAGAGCAGACGCTTCCGGAGGGGCTGGACTGTGCCTTCAGCATGGCAAAGCCACTGATCCAAGAGCGCTTTTAAGAAACCTGAATTTTTGAACTAGAGCCCTACGCAGGCCTTTTCAGACCAAACTCCACAAACAGGTTTATGGACCCTACCCCCACCCCACCCCAGAGATGCTGGACTCCAAGTCCCATACATCACTACCACCTGAGGGAGGACTGCTGGGACCCGAGGGGAGTTAGCGGCCAGGCCTACTAGGTCCAGAGATGGGGTCTTGGGGTGGCCTTGGTTTTCGCCAGCTCAGTGTGCTATTGGGGCCCAGCTCAGTCACTCACCCACTTGTCTCTCCCTGAGCTATTCCTTCCATGTCCCCTGTTCCTGAATAACCCTCCATCACCTCTCCGGTGCCTGCGGCTGAGTACTGAGTCCCTGTGCGCGCGGGGAGGACCCAGCCAGGCCAACACACTTCACGCCAGGGTTGCCCAGTAACCACTCTAATTCTGTAGGTGAACTGCTGTGAAGTGGTCAGAGGTTTTATCAACAAGGAAATGCCGTGACTGTAAGAGCAGCTGTCGCAGGGAGATGTGGAGGTTTGGACTCCAACATCAAGGATTTCCTGTGGTCAAAAAAGCAGCAGACTGGCAACTAATTAGATAAAAAGGAATTATCTACTCGTAGATAAACGAAA